TGAAACATGCATTGTACCAATCAACAGAGTGTTGATTTGTTGAAATATCTCACCTCTTTGTGCCCAGCATGGAGCCTCCCTTTCCAGTCCATCCTGCCACTCCAGACCAACCAATAGGCTCAATCTGTGCAGGGACAGATTGCATATCATGCTCTTTCATATGCATTACTGTAACATGGTAACACTAATTAACTGTCATGAAAATAAATGCCCTCTTGTTTTATTTACATGTGTTTAGCTAATTTACCATTCCATGAGCCAAGCCATCGAAGCCATCGTGCACCGCCAGCATCTGGTGGCCCTGGAGGAGTCCGATTCTGACAGCTGAACGAACTATAGCATTCATTCCAGCACACGGAGCTCCCACGTTCAATATGGCAATGTTGATGTTACTCTGGCACAGGCACACAGACATTTGTCAGAATAAAATTTTCCACTGGGACTTATTGACTGTGAGACAGTGAATGTGCAATAACCGTAGTTCCTTACCTTTGTTTCTGGGATGTGCACGTGAGCCAGCATTTTGTAAGTGTTCCAGTTGTTCTCAAAGCTCCTATTGCCAACATATTGCAGAAATGTACAGACATTTGAAACTCAATGCAACACTTTTAAAATGAATAACACAAAGGTGCATGCCTCACTTTCCCCTGAGCTTCACTGCTTCTTCAAACCTCCCATCAGCCATGGCTGTGGTGACATCTTTAGTCTGATGAGAAAGAAGATAGAAACTATTAATACATACCTGTACATACTTGTGCCCAGTAATGTGAGCTGTTGAAGCCATGTTCATTCATTCATTTTGTATAAACTGAAGAACTCACCACTTGCACGCACTCCATGAGAGGCAGCCTGACAGCCATGTTTCCAGACAAGCTGACAACACATGCAGGAGTGTCTGGTGTGGCCTCCAGCAGAGCCATCACAGATTCCACACCCATCCTGCTTGCCTGAATCATGACAATCAAAACGCTTAGCTTAGAGAAGCAGGTACACTTGTGTTTATTCACATTGTGAACAAGAAATTAGTTTAAAGGTCCAGTGTGTAATATTTAGGAGGATCTATTGACAGAAATTGAATATAAGTATGCTTTCAGTAGTGTATGATCACCTGAAAATAAGAACTGTTCTGTTTTCGTTACCTTAGAATAAGACTTTTATATGTGCAGAGGGAGAGGGTGCTCTTCTTCAGAGTCTGCCATGTTTCTGTAGCTCAGAACAGGCAAACAAAACACTGGCTCTAGATAGGGCCTCTAGATAGTTTTTGTGGCCGCTGTAGTTTCTCCTGCACACTTGAAAGGTTTAGCTGTATTCAGATGGTTGTAATTTGCAACTTTACCACTAGATGCAACTAAATCCTACACACTGGTCCTTTAATTGGTTAATATCTAAAAGGTTTATATATATTGGTCATATTACGAGAATTCTGTCAAAGGCAGATGGAGTTCCTCCTCTCTGGACATGGCCCAGGATGGTGGAGCGGGTGTCAAAGCCCAGCTTCTTTGATACCAGCTGGACAGAGAAATTATGATTTTATGAACAGTCTGCCTCATATGAACAGCCTATATTTATGCTGGTATATTGGAGTTCTGCCATTACTGACCTGTTTGATGTCGTCACATGTAATAGGTTTACCCTTGCGGTTAATTGCTCCCTCTGCAATAATGAGAATATTCAAACGGGAGCCACGGCCTCTTTGCTGAAAGGGACAGAGAAAACCTCGTAAATCACCAAGCAGACTTAAAAAAGACAAAACAGATTCAAATTAGTCATTGAAGATGATCATGACAAGACATTTACATCTGTTAGTCTTCTGCACAGATGTTCCTCCCACCCCTCATCTGGGGGCATCTCTGGGATGAACACCCAGTCAGCGCCACAGGCCAGAGCTGTCACCAAGGCCAGGTAACTGTTGGTAAAGAGTCATCAGCTAGGGTTCAAGTGTCAAAACTGACACTGAGTGATAACTTCTTAAAGTTAGTACATCATAAAATTGACATCCATCATAAAATGAATCTCAATAGGATAAAAAAGCCTCTGAAATGACATTTATACAACAGACAATAGCACAGTAAATATTTCATCAAACAAATTACATCATATCATATCATATTAGAGGTGGATATCACCTTGCCAAAACAGTATTTTATTTTTCAGTGGAGGCCAGTGGGGTCAATTTATCCAATAAAGTGCCACTCTTGCCCCCCTCGGGATAAACTGTAAATACTCCCTTCACTTTTGCACTAGCGCTATTATCAGGTCGATGTAGAAACTAATGACATTCTCATCAGCCTCAGCTGTACATTGTGTTCAGTGCTAATTAGCAAATGTTAGCATGCTAACATGCCTAAGGTGGTGAACATGGTAAATAAATCTGCTAAACTTCAGCCTGTTAGCATTTCCATTGTGAGCATGTTGACATTACCATTTAGTTCAGCCCCACAGAGCTGCTGGTATGACTGTATTTTAATGTAGTTAAGAGGGACATTCACTAGGTTATCCTTAGAAAGTACATGTGTTTTAGTAGTATATCCTGCAGTTTCCACATTTAGCTACTGTATTAATTATTTTACAACCACCCAGTTACAGACTGTATTTTTTGCCTCCACATAGATAAATGGAACTCCATGCTACTCCACACGTAGGCCGTACTCACCCACAGTGCCTGCCCATTACCTCCAGGATGAAGGTCCTCTGGTGACTGCAGAAGGACATATTTCATGTCAAGAGTCTTAAAATGACATGACAAGTCTGTCTGTCAGATAAATGTGTGAACGGTTGCGTGCATACCTCTGTGCTGTGGTGGTGATGGCGTCCACTATCTCTATGATGCGATGCAGGGCAGAGTCTGTCCCGATGGTCATGTCGGTGCCACAGAAGTCATTGTCAATGGATCCCACCATGCCAACGATGTTGAGATGGGAGGAACACTTGGCCTCATTTGCCGTGATCTTACCTGAGCGCAGATTAATATGGCAACACTCTCATATTTATTTGTGAATAGTGGCAGTGGCTTATATTAGAGACAGGCCTTAATTTCTAATTTTCCCTTTAAAACTTTTACCAGGTTTACCCTTTGCTTTGACAAATTCAGTATAATGTTCATTTCCACAGCACTAATTCCATCAGTACAGCAAGAGAGTGGCGAGTATGAGATCATTCTGCTGTATTGATGGAATTAGTGTTGTGGAACTTTACCTGTGAGCTGAAATTTACCTGGCATTTATTAGCAATCAGCCTTTATATATCAGCTTTTATATGACAATTCAAGGTACACCATGTTAAAATGAAAGACCAACATTTCTAAACCAATAGCAATTTGTACCATAATATCAGTGCAGAAGGACAGATGTGAGAAAAAGACATTACATGTGGGGCTCATGCCTCTCACCAGCTTTGACCAGGTCTGCCAGCAGCTCACTCCACTCTGTTCTGAACTGGTTGGCACCTGTCAGACTGCCATCACCTCCAATCACACACAGGTTGGTGATTCCCAGCTTGACTAAGTTGCAAGCGGCCTTGGTACGCCCCTCCTTGGTGCGGAAATCCTGACAGCGGGCACTACCAATCACAGTCCCACCCTGATGCCAGACAAGAGAGGAAGGGTTTCAGTACCAGAATCACAAGGAGACAGATAAGGAGAAGGGGTAGGATTATCTGTAACCGAAGCACTCATGTCTAAGATCTATTTAGTCTTGCTATTTAATGAACCTTGGCATTTAAATGACCATTTGACCTACAGAGCTGCACTGTAGAGGCAAGAGTTGCTAGAGTTACACAGATCATCATCCATTTCACTTACTGTGACCAGCTGATCACAAGTTAAAAACAGAGTGGAGATGATAAATGTGCTTTTGCGTCCATGTGCTTGTTCTCACCAGCTGTAGCATCATTGACACACTCTCCCAAGTAGCAAGGCGGATATTGTCTCCTCCATCCACCAGACCTTGGTAACCCTGTCAACAAACAGCACAATATCACCTTGTTGAAAAGGGGCCATTGCTTCATTCTTACAGGCATATTTTTACTCTGGCATGTTGTATGTTGGGATTTGCTGATTATTTATAGGTAAAGTTGATCTTACATGTTAGGCCATGGAATAGTCCTGAGAAGAATTAGTAGATCAAAAGTAAATGCTATCCATTAATCTTTTAGGTCATTTCTCAAGCAAAAATGGCAAACATTAAAAAATCAAAGCTGTATTTACCTCATGAACAAAATACACCTTGGCTCCAGTGTAAAGTCCCACTCGAACTGTGGCCCTGACAGCTGCATTCATACCTGTAGGCGCAATGTGTGTGTACATGTTAGTCCTTATAATTATGTAAGAAACAATCATTGAATGGAATAATGGGAAAATGGTGCTGAAAAAATGTACAGTATTACTATATTTGAATAGTTTGTGTCCATATTTCTGCAGAATTTCAGCAAGTCTACTCGTTTTTTCTTGTCTAATGTACATTCTATACATTTTTTGAATTAATAACTTTTACCTGGGGGGATTTTGGATATTATCTTTTTTTTCATCTAGGTAAGTGCAGAGATAAGTTAGTAACTTGAGTAGGATATTCACTCTGTGGGTCTGCAATTTGCTTGATGATACAGTGCAAGGATGTTACACAACTCATAGTATTAATAATATTAACATTTATTTTTTCAGTGATAATAGCAATCAGCTAGTGAAGCTGCTGAAGGGAACAACAACAACAAAAACACAGGTTTAAGATAAAGACCATTTTGTTAGACTGTAATTTTATTGTTGGTTTGTAGTTACTGTATGTTGTCAGTGATAGTAGGCAACTGGGCCTCTGCCCACACTCCCAACACTCAGCAGGTCGCTTAAAGGACAAAATGTGGATAGATTAGCTTTTAAGAGAGCCAATAGCATCTCCACTTACAGTGTACAGGATGAGAGGAGAAAAAGGAAGAGTAGGACGGCCTTCTCACTCCAGCACACCACTTTACAAACACATGACAGAAAGGTCATACCTCTAAAATTAGCACTCATAACAGAAACAGTGCTAGGGAGAGAGGAGGAAGGAAGAGAGAGAAGAAACTTGAACTAAAGGGTATAATGATGACAAAAAAGGTAAGGTTGTAATGAGGAGTATTTTGGAGAGTGAAAAAGAAGTCCGAAGGTTAGCATGCTGAGCATTTATAGACTTTGTCCTATGGTCTTATAAAGTTCAGATGGGCAGAAAAAACGGACAGATGAGTAGCTCAGTGTCTCACACGCTCACACCACTGAGTTGCGTGGGGTCACTGACACACTTCCCAAAGGTCACAGTGGAGATATTCCTCATCAAATTAAAGGTCAGGGGAGAGTCTGTCTCACTCTGTGGTCCTAGCAGCTTCAGGTTGAGGAATTCATGCTACCCTTTTAATTAAGTTAGCTGTATGAGATAGAGAGCTAAGACAGCTCTGTTGGAATAGAGAAGCCATTTAAGAATTATTATCACTAATAAAATAAAATATCAGTAGTCAAATTTAATTCTAGTGCTCTAGATACCTAAAAATATATTGTCCAAAAGCAAATGCTACACCTAAACTATGGAAATCTGTGGAGGCTGCAGTACTTGTCTTAGACAACCAAGGGCATCAGCATTTGAATTATAGATTTCTGTATTTCTCACTTCATTTGTCATTAAGCCCTGCTATTGAGTTACTGAGTAGTAATTTCCCACATACCAGATCCTCTCAACCACCTGCTGAGGAACACAAACAACAGACATGCCCTGTCTTGGCGCTCCACACCCACATACCACCCTGGAAAAGCCACCACTTACCCTGGGCATCTCCTCCCGAGGTCAGCACGGCGATGGCCCGACCCACTCCCATCTTGGTGGGATCAGTGGCAGCCGTTTGTGCCATGGTCCTGGAGCTGAAGCTGGCTGAGGGAAAGAGGCCTTGAGTGTAAAAATCCCTGTCACCCTGCTGTACTGTATGGAGTACAAGGAGCCTCTCACCTCTAACTCAGCCTGCCTGTTATGGAAAGCAATAGCAGTTGCAGAAGTGCGCAACTATCCTCTTGGCAGACACTGAGGCACGCATTTAGATGCACACACACACACACAAGCACACACACACTTATACATAGTGCCTATTAAAAGTATTCAGCCCCCCAGTCTCCCACCCACTTTATATTTTTTTTTAATTTTGTTTTACAAGACAGAATTACAGTGGCTATAATTAGGCTTCTTTCACATTATTCTTTTTAGTGTGCAATCTAACAAATACAAGTACAGTATGTGGAAATTAATCTTAAATATAGACTAAACACTAGATAATGGACTGTATCAGTTTTGCACATCTGACTGCACACAATTATTTTCATTTGAAGATAAATGGGCACGTAGTAGTTTTTATAAACAGTAGTTTTTAAGTCCTGCCACAAATTCTGAATTGGATTGAAGTCTAGACACTGACCACTTCAGGGCATCAATATTGCTGTTTTTAATCGATCCTAGTTGAGCATATAAGTTTTACTTTGGGGACTGTTAGCTGTTGGATATTTTAGATTTACTTATTCAACAATCGACTGCACACAAGTGAGCCCCGTCTCCATTCTATGTATTAAAAACAACTGATTACATCAGCGTATTAGATGTGTCATTTTATGTTTTATCCTTGCACTTAATTTAGTTCTGTGTTTTATTTTTAACATTTAAGTATGTTTTTTTTGTTGATCAGCATAAAAAAAAATTCTATTTACATCCAGTGTGGTTCAGTGTTGTAGCTATCATATCCCCACTTACTGTATATTACTATTCTGGGTAACATTTTATTTAGATAATCTACCTAGTGATAGAGTTTATAAAGTATTTGCAACATTTCAACAGCTCATGAGTTGAAATTACACCACTGTGGTGTAGGGTTGGTTAGAGTATGTTAATAAATTGACACATATATACTGTATAATCAGTTAAATATCTATAGACAAAGTGAAACAGCTGAAATGTTGCAAATGTTCTATAAACTAGTTGGTCACAGCAACTGCAGACTCAAATAAAGTCTGTATTGCAAATATACTTTATGGCGCCATTATTAATTACATTGTAATCTATAATGTTATGGTGAAGTGATGTCTTAAACTGAGTTTTTGGTCTTCATCTACCCCTGCCCTATTAGAGACACACATTCAAACGAATAGTGATAGTCCTCTAATTACAGTCTAGCTTACCAGCATCCCCTGTTGGATCAGAGCTCGAGGACGTCTTGCCGTCACATTCAGATGCTAAGAGTTCATCACCACCTGAGGAGGGAGAACCATAACACATCACCAACAATGTGATCCAGCCTCTGTACTGGACATATTATATTATTTAAAGAACCTCTCTATAACTCACTCCATAATAGTATAAGGCAGTATCTCACTCACATGATAGACCCTTTCTACAAAAGACAACACGCTCAAGCATTATTTGTCAGCATTTTCTCTCTCCCCTGTTTTGTTATTGAAAGCATTTGTGATCACCACGTAACATCCTCTATCTGTACATGGCAGGTTAGTTTACTCCCAGTAGCCTTATCAAGTCTTTGGCTATGAGCTGCAGCTGATAGCCTGGTTACTGGGGAATGCGTACTGGAGAAGAAGCACATAAAGCAAGTCAGATGTGTCTAGTTCAATAAAGATTGATGTCGTATTTCTGAAATTGGTGCACATCAACAAGACCTCTGGGTATTATAAATGGATGGCTTCCACTTACAAAGCAAACAATTCACATATTTGTACTTGTGTGCAATTTCTTGGAGAAAATAATTTCTGTATGGAGGAAAATTCAAATCCCAGAGCCTCCATGACACAACTGTAACTTTCCCTTTTTAACTGACTCCTCTTCCCCAAGCAGACACATTATATCTCGTTAGTCTGCTATTCATTTCTAGAATTATAAATGAGATCATTAATTAAATACAGCACAGTACTACACCTACAAGCATGCATGTGTCTAGAGAGTGACTATTAAACTGTTTGTTCAATCACTGCCAATGAAGCTGATTTAAGAATTTAAGTATCAACAATGTGGAAATAATTACTTTTGTTTTCTGTCTCTTTATATAATTTAAAATTAACAAGGTAGATCGCTGTAATACAGAAAAAAGGCACAAAAACTGCAAAGAATCTGAGGCTCATTATAAACAAAAGCACAATATGGGGCATGCCAATTAGTGATAATTATGCCTGATTAAAGATGAAAAACAAGAGTATCAGTGTCGGAGGCCTGTCTGCTGCAGGCAGCTTATTGGTGTCTTTAAATAGATACATGATGTCTGGATGCAGACACAGTGCTGCTATCTATAAAACACACAGGAACCCCTCCCCTTTTTTACCGCCATAACTGTGTAAGAAGTGCACAGTCATCCCTATACCTGAACATGTCAAAACATATCATACTTGTGTTTTTATGACCAGGTAAATGTATACTACAATTTACCAGAAAATTACATATTAAAAAGTTTACAATGCTCAGCAAATGTAACTTGTGGAATAGGCCTCTATCACAGTAACACTCACACAATAATAAATGAATGCACTGAAATACAACAGAATAAAACTGTATGCGTACCTTGACCTTTCTTTCTGAGCCAGAACAGCAGACAGGCCAGCAGTATGACAGAGAGGAACCCCTGGACTGAGAGGACGCCCGGGTACCACATCCTCAAAGTACCTCTCTTGCTGGGAAACCATTCTGCATCTGATCTGTATTAATAGATTTGATATCACTACTCCATTGTGGACTAATGACCTTCATCGCTTGATGGCGCAACATGGCGGGTAATCAAATACAACCCAGCAGTGTCTGTAATAATTACAGTACAATGAGTGGCCAACAGGAACGTCTTCAGATTTTGGCTTAATGTATGAGACTTTGTGGTAACATATCTAAAACAATGCTAGATCACTACTATACTGCTATAATTGTGTTTTTATATTTTATACTATATCACAGTATTCTTATATATTATATATAATTTGTATAATGTGTATATTACATATACTATATTTATACTGTATTATATAGTTTGTTATTTCTTATGTATACTATAGTTCACACGTCACACCTGCCAGAGTTGCAGTACTGGACAATAGTCTTTTTTTTTTTTAAATCACCTCTCTCCTCTTTTATTTTTTTAATTTATTTAATTCAAAATATGAATTAATTAATATGTCTCTGTGCTGCTGGGGCATGTTAATTTCACCACTGTCTTGCTTTTTTATCTTAAATATTATGCAACCAACATAACTACCAATCCCATACAATTGAATCAGCATTTTTCTGTTCTTAAGAATCTTTATATTATTGGCTTCATAATGGTTGTGTTTGTGGTACATGTGTTGCTTTTATTTTGTCCTAAATAGAAATACAGAAATAGAAATGTATTTCATATATAGATCCTTTATTTTATCCTGCATGACTTTATGGAGACAGCAAAGACTAATCTGTGTGAGGTAATATAGGGTCAGTGTTTTTTTAAATCACTGCTGATGTTGCAGCCGCTCAGCAGACAGTGAGATATGCAACAATGTGGCCGTGACACCGGACTGACACTCATGCCGGAAGAAGTTGAGATTACAGTAGTGAAACACGGGCAGCCAAACAATGTGAATGCACAGACACGTTAGGCACGTACACACACTTACAATATATCTATTTGTGAGGACCCTTGCTGACACAATGCATGTCCTTGCTCCTAAACTTAACCATCATGACAATATGCCCAGACTAAACCTAATACTGGACATAGACATGTGATCCAAAGGTATGGTAAGTGTAAGTGTATGGAAATGTATCCAGATCTGTATGTCATATCATATCATATCATATCATATCATATCATATCAAAAGAAAAATAAAATCTGTCAAAGATCTAGTCTGTAATCTTCTGCATACAAATGTGTTCCCACCTTACATAGTATAGTGTATTTTTGTGCATTTATTCCAGTGTAAACCTAAACCTAATTCTCAAACCGCCCTTTGAAAAAGGAGAAAAGGCCAAAAGCCTCCTCAGTGACTATAATAAGGAGTTGATTGTCTACAATTCAAACTGGTCCTCACAGAGATAGAAGTACAAGAGCACACACACATACACCCAAACAAGCACATGCATGATGATAGTTAAAAAGGCTTTAAATAAAATTATTTGCTATCAGTGTGATTCATCAGCTCATGTCATATGAGAAGGTCATGACTCCACAGCTTCTCCTCTATCACTGTACTTTCCCACCGGCTCAATGACCTCTGAAGCAGATACATCACTGTGGACAAAAGGCAGCTTGTCATAAACACACATCTCAGGCGGTGTTAGTTTGTTGGCTCTCGCATCCTTCCAACGCGCCCCTGGTGGGTTGAGCGATGTGTAGCCCTCTCCTGAGGCAAACCCCGATCGATAGCACTATTTCCAGGTAATCCCTCCTCCTGTCTTCCCGGACAGTATTAACACTCACACAGCCTGTAATAAACCATATTGATCAATACAACACCAGTTCAACACAAAACACTTCCAACCTCAGCTAATGCAGTGAAATGTGGACTGGATATTGTTACAATCCAACCCCTCACATCTCCAATTATGTGAAGTATATAGTTGGTAATTAGATTGTTAGATAATAATACGTAGTATGGTAACACACTTCTCAGTGACTGCAAAACGGTTCCCAAATGAATGTATATTTGCATAAGAAAACTGCTCTGACATTTAGAAAAATAGAATATATTTAACATTAGACTACATTACGAAGCCTTTTTCTTATCAACCTATGTAACAAAACAACTGTTAGCTATCAATAAAGTTACTTTACTTGCCAAGTGTAGTATATGTTTTTTCCACATATTGGTATTGTCAGAGTCACAGACTGTAGTTGTAACAGATAGTTGTGACTGAGTATCACTTTAACAAGCAGTATGATCACACTGGGGCGTCCTGGTGCCCAAATTCAGTCTAGTTAGAATTG